CCTGTTTCCGGTGAATTTATTTACGGCTAAAAAGCATGCTAAAAAGCCCAAGATTATAGAATTAAACGAATAAATAAAAACAATGATAATTGTGTGTTATTGTTGAGTAAATAACAGTGTGTTATTTAGAAAACAATAACAAATTAGAAGGAAAAAAAGATTTTCAAAAATACAGATTTCAGTATTTTGAGGCTCTAAGCCTCATTTCTTTTCCTCACAGATGGGAAAAAAAGTCTGACATTATACGATTTAAAATAAAAACGAATAAATAAAAAGATAAAACACTGGCATGTAATTTACGTTAGAATAAATAGAATGGTTTTGAATAATGTATGATAGTAAAATCTACGTCACTTTACAGCCCCGCCCACTTTTGGGGAAACCAACGCTGTCATTTGAATGGCGATCAAGCCTGATGCCACAGAGATCTTCTTTTACTGTCCTTTCTTCTTAGAGGAAGTACAGAAACACGTAACTCTGGATTTGTTTTAATGTTTGAGGTGCAATGAACGACACAGCAGCTTTTCTGGCATGTTAAAACTATTATGTTCTGCCTCGCTCATGAGAGTAACAGCTGGCGAAATTACAGCCTCGCCTACTGATTTCAAATGTGTGCTCTAAAATGATATTTATAAATGACTATTATCATTATTATAAGCAAAACAATAAATGGCAAAGATATGTAGAAAATAAACGTATTTGAGATACGTTCATAACGAACGTAACATGGGAGAAAATACGTTTCTAGCTAAACGTAATTGAGAATGCAGTTTAGTTCTGTGGGAACGTAATTTATAGGAGACAGGGTTGCTCTGAAGTGGAGGAGATTCAGGTGATAAGGTGGGGGGTTACCTTGGTTGGTGATTGGCTTATGGTTACACAAGCCAACAAAATCGTTATGACATCATAAAGTGGCCAAAATCTGATCAGCTCATTTTCAGACAGGTTTTTATAGAAATGGATGAGGACAAAAAGTGAGAGAATCTTTTTCCACAGAGGGGAGACATGTTTATGTAGAAAAGACATGAAAAAAGTGGATTATGCATAATAGATCCCCTTTAAAAAAAAAACTTGGATTTCTAAACTGTAGCTTGAAGTAGTGACGCATGTGTTTATGGGTTCATGGCCTGAAGAGACAAGAAGAGGTTTGTGTTACCGTCTCTTCTCCTAGAGAGGTGATAAGAGGAACAGAATGACTGACTGGAGTGGACATGTCAGTACACCAGCATGAAAACTCTCTTTGTCTTGCAGCCAAATGCATCACAATGAAAGCTCTCCTTGTGTTTCTGTATTGTTTCCTGACAAACCTTAAACCATATTGAATTGTTTTTCGCTGTGATTCAAAGAGGATTAAGTTCTGAAGTCTCATTTAAAAGTTATGGTTATTCCTCTCCTCTCAAGTTTGTGGCTTGGAATGACTAAACTCACAGAACTCATGGGTGGATATCAGGTGTCTTTGGACAGCTTCAAAATTCTACATAGGTAACCAGCGCTGGTCTATTGTCATGGAGCATGTCAAAGTCTCAGTTATTTCTTGGGACAATGTCATCTGAGACAAGATAGAGGTTATAGTGTTTCAGCAGGTTTCTTTCAGTCATCTTAGACTTTTCAAACAAATGCAAATCCATTTCAAATTCCCAGGGATGAGGCGCATATCATTTGCGTTCATTTGAGTAAGTGTGGAATGATACATTTGATGAAATGGAACCGTGAGTCAGTTGAGTGATGGATGTCTGTTAACAGAGGTTACAGTTGTGGGTGAATACTGCTGTGTGAGGATCTTTCCAGGAATGCCTAAATGCCGAAAAGTGGTCTCTGTTAGTTAGGAAAGTCTACTCTCACCAAAATATTCTAACATTTGAAGAGATACATTCTTTTAAAGCCAATGAATCTTTAAAAAACACACTGACTAAAATAGAAGGTAGATTGACAGATGATGATTTAATCTTGATCAGTTAGTAGTAGTCTGTAACTTTGACATAGTTACAGTAGGCGCTTGTAGCAGGCCAACTTCAGTGGTTGCAAAAATAAGTCCAGTTGATAGAAGTCTATGAAAAAATAACCCACCTTCACACTTGACTTATTTGCCCTAACCTTTTCCTGAAGACGTAATTTTCTAACTCTGTAGTTTCAAGTCCTATTCAATCCTGTTGTTCATTTTTAGTCTAATTTAGAGTAAAATAAAAGAGAAGTCAGGCTTTGGTTTAAACACTTCTACTAGAAGACAGGATTGAACATTTAGTTGACACGCAAGTAAAAACCCAATAGCCCTAAGGTCGAGTTCAGGTTATGGGATTCCCCAGGATGCGGGTTAAGTTCTTGCAGCAAAAGGATTACTAAGCATCTCCTTAATCATTTATTTTGGATCTAATATTACCTTTAAAACTTTAGTTTAAAGTAATACAGCTCGTGGGATTTATTTTGTCGAGACCTGGACAATGGCAAGGAGAAACTCCAAAGAGCACTTAAAGTAACTGCTTGTTCTGCTAACCATCAATTAAATTGCAAAATAAAAAATGTGGGTAATGTAAGTCAGTAAGGTGTGAATGAATGGTATTTTTTTTATAAAGGAATCATACAAAGTTCATTAAGAGAGTCTCTTTTAAAGGTGGTATCTTATGTACTGAGTTATTAACACCAAGTGCTCCCATTCCAGCTCCGATTTAAATGAACCTGAACAGACTGGCACTGTTCTATGGAACATTAAAGGGGCCCCTTTAGTTTGTCACCTTAATTCTACCAGAATATGCATACTGTATGCCCTAATGTCGATCCACTGCCCTCTGATACCATTTGTAACAAATAGTGTTTCTCAGTAAGTAAGCAAAACTGTATTTATATAGCACCCTTCTCAACACGGATGTACAAAGTGCTTTACAGACAGTACACAATACAAAAAAACTAAATACAACTATAAAATGTAGAATAAAACAGGCATAAAACACAGCAAGTAAAATATAGGATAAAACACCAATGTAGGATAGCTACAAACTCACCTCCTCCGACACCCCCAAAGCCTGTCGGAAAAGGTGATTCTTTAGCTGCCCCTTAAAGATCTCCAATGAGACAGAGGCTCTCTGTTTCTGGGGGAGTTCATTCCAAAGCCTTGGGGCCACCGCCTCAAAGGCACGGTCCCCCTTAGTTTTTAGCCTGGTTCGGGGCACCCTTAAGAGGCCTTTCTCGGAGGACCTCAGACCTAAGGTCGTTGATGTAGGCTGGGGCTTGGCCATGGACAGCTCTATATGTGAAGACCAAGACCTTAAATTGGGTTCTGAGATGGACAGGGAGCCAGTGCAGGGCGGAAAGGATCCGAGTGATGTGGCATGTTTTTTTGGACCGAGTGAGTAATCTGGCTGCAGCATTTTGGACCTGTTGTAACCGGTTTATTGATGTTTTGTTGAGGCAGGAGAACAGAGCATTACAATAATCAAGCCGGGATGAAATAAAGGCATGGATAGCCATCTCCAGTTCTACGTTGGATAGAAAGCACCTGAGCTTGGCAATGTTCCTGAGGTTGAAACAACAGGTACGGGTTAGGAGTTTGATGTGTTTATCGAGTAGCATAGCCTGATCGAAGGTTACACCAAGGTTTTTGATGTTTTCCCTAACGTTACCACTAAATTATCCCAGGTGGCTTGCTACCTTAGAGGCGATGTTATCAGCCGCTAAGATCAAGACTTCCGTTTTTGACATCCACTCCTCAATGGCAGACAGACACAGGGTGTTTAAATTCTCAGTTTTGACGGGTTTGAAGGAGAAGTATTAATGAACATCATCCACGTAACAGTGATACGAGACACCCTTGAATTGGCTAATTAAGGAGCCTAAAGGGAGCATGTAAAGGGCAAAAAGAAGGGGGGCTAAAACAGAACCCTGGGGCAGGCCGCAGGATAGGGGAGTGCTATGTGATGAGAACGGGCCCACCGCCACAGAGAAACTTCTCCCACTGATGTACGAGGCAAACCACTGGAGGGCAGACCCTGAGATGCATGATGGCGTGGTCCACTGTGTCAAATGCTGGACTCAGGTCCAACAACACCAGAACTACGCAGTCCCTGCATCCGATGCCATCATGATGTCATTGGAAACCCTGAGGAGAGCTGATTTTGTGGAGTGATGTTTTCTGAAACCTGATTGGAATTTGTCAAGGATGTTATGGTTATTCAGAAATGTGTTGAGTTGGTTAGCAACGACTTTTTCTAAAACTTTTGACACGAATGGGAACTTTGAGATGGGCCTGTAGTTCTTCGGGAGGGAGGGAGATTGTTTTTTTTTAGGGGGGTCTGAACAACTGCCTGCTTAAAAAATGATGGGACAGAGCCAGAGACAATGGAGCTGTTTATAATGTGGAGCAGGGGCGGGGCGACACATGAAAAACCGTATTTTAGCATGGAAGTTGGTAAAAAAAATATAAAAAAAGGGGGCACTTGTACACCATCATCCCAGCAGACTGACTGCTCTCCAAGTGTCCACCGACTGCATTTAAAAAAGGAACAAGTGGACAGTGGATGGACACCTGATTTATTAAACAAAAATACTATATTGTGTTTAATTCATGTAGTTAGCTAAACAGCATTTGAAAAATGTATTGGCTTTGGCATCCAAAAGTCACTAAGTTACATTACTTTCATATTGTGATACTTAGATCAGGTTACTGAATTATTATTTTGAACAGGTAATAAGTAAATGTAAAGGAATAACATTTTTAAAAACCCTCAGAATGTATTCTACTCGGGGTGAAATTGCATCGCCCTTGCTTTTGTTCGCACAGATCCATGACTAGACATTCCATGAACGGATTAGTCATGCTGTGGCCCAGCAATATTTACATTAGAGGTGTATTTTACTATGAATTTCATGGGGAAAGTTAAAGGTTGTGGGATGAAAAGGGAAATATTAACGCGCTGGAGGCTGAAGAACATCTGGTGATTGACTGAAGGCTGAGCTTGCTTCATCCACCTTATCACAGTTGTCAGAATTCTAATGTTTCTTTGTCTCTGTCTTTGTCACAGAAGACCAGATCCCTCATGGGTTCCCCACCATAGACATGGGCCCCCAGCTGAAGGTGGTAGAGAGAACACGTACTGCTACGATGCTGTGTGCAGCCAGCGGGAACCCTGACCCCGAGATCTTCTGGTTCAAAGACTTCCTCCCCGTGGACATCAGCAGCACCAACGGGCGCATCAAACAGCTGCGTTCAGGTAAAGCTTCATCTCTACATCTTCACACGCAAATCTCAGAACCAGTGCTTTACATTCAGGTGTTGATAAGTGAGGTTACTAATGAGTAAGGTTACTGACTTGTTCGTATACAAACAAAGCGGAGAACATTTCCAAAATCACGCTCAAATCAAACCCTCAGCTGAATGGTTGTATGCTTTATACGCTATACTCTCTCACTTGGCAGATGCACAATCGACATCCAAATAACAATGATTAGATGAAAGCACACTATTAGCTTATGTTAGAAATAAAAGATCATGAATTGCTGTAGTTGCCCGAGCAGCACCTGTGTGGGAACCGTGGCATGCCAACAGTGGTTAACACTCCACAGACAGTGATGAATGTAAAAGCTGAGGCAGCCATGTGAAGCAGCTTTGTGAGGAGGTGGCCAGGATCCAGAGGAGAAGATAGAGCATCTTTCTCCACGGAGCCGGCTCCCAGCAGCTCGCGGCAGAACAACCCCGTCAGCTGCCCTTTCGTTCTCTCGCTTTCTGTGAGAAAATAGAAATGTTTCATTCTTGCCAAAAGTCGCAAGCACCTTGACAACATTGGAACTGCTGTCCAGGGCCAACATTTCTTGCCAGACCTTGGAGTGGGAGTAAGAAGCAGATCACTGAGGGCCCGGGCCCCTCAGGTGGCTGCTCTCATCTCGACACTGGCAGGAAGAGAAAGGTTGAAAGACTCTAGGATATCATTGGCTTCCACTCTGAGGATTTTCCAGAGTCAGAGCCTGGGCTTTAGGTAAGGAAAAAATGCCATGTATTATTAGCCAAATAGCATGGCAATTTATTTCAATTTGTTTCATAGGCCCTGTCGTCACATGCAGTCCCATGGCAGCCCAGAGCAAAGATGGCTGACTTTTTTTCTCAGCCACACAAGCAAGAATTGTGAAATATATAGCCGGGTGCAAAGTCAGCACTCCAATTTATTGTTTCAATAGAACTCATTATATAGAAAAGTAATTACATTTGCGCTTCAATTAGTTAGTCCGATTGAATGACTTTGATCCATTAGGAAACAATAATAGCTTCATTTTTTCAATTTAAGACCTTTGCTCTCTTTTGGAAAAGGAACAAAAAAGGTACTGGCTTCAGTGAGGCTTTCTCTGGTGCTCCAGAACTCATCTGCCTGCTGTAATTACAACCAAAGCTTGTCGGTCAAGGAGTGATGTGATCCAGACCAGCGATCAACTCTCTGGATGCTGGATCGGCGGGATCTGAAGGCAAGGGGATCGGAAGGGAGAAGATAAACAAAAAAGACAAAGCTCTGTTGTGGTAAACCATGCTGGAGAGACACATCAGGCTCCTGGTTCAGCAGACAGGTTCTCAAACAATGCATTACAAATGGCCACAACACCAGCAGTCACCGAAGACTATCATGTTTTAAAGATTTTTGTTAGATGCTGTGTTGAAAAAGTGTCTCAAAGATGGCCTGAATTGGCTATTAAAGTGGGACTCCAGTGAAAGTGTTCCAACACCAGAAATGTGTGAAACTTTGCAAGAGACAGAGAAGAACCGTTAGAATGAGCAAAGGCAGATATATATTTACTTTAAATCTTCAATACTGGTTGAGTTTACATGTATTTGTTCTGAATCGTTTGATAAAGAATGTTGACCTCAGTAAGGGATTTTTGTCTTTCGGATATTCTATTAGCCAAATAATTCCAATCGAATTAAGCTAAATCACTATTATTAAGTCCTAGTCTCAGAAAGTGTGGTACATGGGGTGACTGTGCTGAAAGAGGTTTATAATAATCTACAAATCAAGGGGCAGGGGTTTAAACCATCAAACATGTTGAGTTGTCCTTGGGCTAGATGGTTAACCCAAAGTTGCTTCGGTTGGCATGTCTCGGTATTAAGTGTATTTGCTGTATTTTTTTTTTTTTTAAATGATAAAGGGCAAGTTCCACCTTGAACCATCTAACATTGGGAAAATGTGTGTATGTTAGCCGAACCATGTTAGTTGGGTTAGGGTTAGTCCCTGGATGTATGACTCATAGTGAGTGTCGTCACTACTGTAGGTTAAACATAATGAGGAACCAGAGCTGGAAGACCCTCTGATGTTATTGAGATCGGTTAATCTGTTTTTTTAGAGCATTGACGTTTTCCAGTTATAATGACACTGGACAGAAAGAATGGTGGAAAGAACAGCAACTCTCTGTACCTCTGAAAACAAGCAATCCAAAGTGCTGAACAACCTAGAATGGTCTATCACAGAGCTTTGATATCTGTTAGAATGTAATTTACTTGTGCATGGTATACATATGAACAAGCTGAAGTCGTCCTTGATAGTGGTGTACAAGATCAATGGATGTCCGCTTTAACAGCCAATCAAATTTTCATGGTTAATCATATTGTATCCAAAGTGCTTTACCATTTTTGCTAACTATTCACACACACAGTCACACACCAGTGGCAGCAGGCTACCGTCAATGGCAGTTCTTGGTCCATTGTCTTGCCATTTAGAGAGCTGAAGCCTCTGAACCACCAAACATCGGATCAGTGGTCAACTTGCTCTACATCTTGAGCCATGAGGCTTATTATTCATGCTTGGAAAAGGCAAAATGGGATATTTTGATGTGCAAAGTTGCTACGATGTTCCAACTGGAAATATGAGGACTTCCAATCCCTTACTCTACGGCAGAAAAATATCCATCCTAATCCAGACATTGTGAAAATATAATAAAATCCTATTATTTTTCACAATGAAACCCCGCAACCCGTCATGAACCTGTCAAGCTGTCAGATTATTCTAGCTGTGAGGAGGACGAGGACAGACATCATGGCGGGTCTCTGTACTGCCCTGCCCGGCCCTCTGAAAGCTGCTGATGACCCCTTCATCAGACCCCAGGGGCCACACAGCTTCCAGGCCCCCCCCTTTTCTGTCACCTCCTATCTGAAACTTCTTTGTTTTCTTGTGGTCTTAAGAGCGGCATGGTTTATTATCCAGATCCCTGATATCTGCATAGTAACCGTCCCTCTGTCTCCTGTTTGCTGCATATAACATGATATGCCCAAATGGTGCCAGTTACCAAAGGTCACCTACACCAGGGATATTGCTAGGTTACAGGAGCAAACGCTACTACTGTGTGTATGAATAGGACTAAACGATTAATCAACTGTATCTGAGTATTGTTTATTCTGTGAGAAGAAAAACGAAAAAAGTATGTCTTTCTTACAGTAAATAATCCAGGTAATTGCCCCAAATCAATAGAGTTGGTTCTGAAGTTAGAATTATTTCAATGGTGTTTCTGAGCAATTAAATATTTGGTAGTTAACTTTAATTACCTTAAGTTTATTTTTTTGTTAGGATAATTTGACCCAGATGGATATAACTTATTCTGCATCACAACTAAAATTCTAAAGATCTAAAACTAAAATATAGTATTTTGTTGCTAGTGATTATGTGTCATACAATCGTAACTTGTTTAGCACTGTTGTGTGCTTGATTTGAATCCAAATAAAAGCAATTAAAATTGCAATTGTAATATTGTTTAGAGTTTGTCTGCCCTTAATAGTGAACAGGGAAAACGTTGGCAAAAGATTGACTGCTCCAAATGATGCAACTGTTAAAAAGAAAAGACTTCTAGAGTGTGCTAATTTCGGGGCATTATGCTACAAAAACCAGCCCTTGAGTTCCTCTCAGCCTTGTTATGGCAGGATGCAGGACAAATGTTTGATGAAAAGTGTTGATAACAGGTAATGTCAGGGGAGAAGGCAGGTGTTGGGAACTATTATCACAATTGCCAGTTAGTAACTTAAATAAGCTTCTTGTGCAATAAACAACCTGGTGCACAAATAACAGACTGCAGTTGTAGCTGGGGTTTCAATTCACACATTATTGAAAATAAATTGTGCTTAACAAGAGCTTATGAGGAAAATAAGACATTTGAACAGAGGAAAATGGTTTTCACTAAGAATACATTTTGCACAGTTGTCATTTATGTAATTTATTTTGTTTGGATATTATCAGAAGTGTATTACTCAATCTCAGCTAACATGTTGACATATTGAACATAAAATAATACCTTACATATTATTGGATATTTGTTCCAGGGTGAGAATAGCATTCTGCTGTGTTTCCTCTCTTTGCCCTCCAGCCATCTTTCTCTGTTTCACGTTTTCTCTTCTCCTTATGCTAATGGTTATTTCTAATCTTATTTGCATTCAAATAACCTCACCAGGTGGTACACCAATCAGAGGTAAGAATGCTGGGTACAGAAAATGTTTTCTCATCCTCCTCCTCTCCTTCATCACCTTCACCTCCTCCACCTGCCACCTAAGTACGTCCCATTTCCAGCTCGCTGTTCACTTTCCACTATAATCTTCAAAGCGCATATGGTCTTATATACAATATACAGGTAGACACTTGGCAATGATGATGTTGCCACTTATTTCAACAAATGCCCAACTACTGTTCTGACTGATTTACAAGCAGGTTATCATTATGCTCACACATATCAATACAAAATCAACTCCAACAATTGATCTACAAATTAAAAATGTGTCTGTGGGAGATGTTTTTATAAACAAGACAAGTAAAATGTTGATAACTAGCCAGCCAAATGTTGTATTCAGTTTCTAGAAAGTTTGGCGCAGTTGATTTAACCCCAGTTCAGAAATGTGGTCTTTGGTTCATTTCTTCATGGTTGTCTAGTATATCCAACATTACTTACCATAACCCTAAAATATCTCCATCGGTCTACAAACACTACAAACCAAATACAAGGAAGAGCTCACCTTCGTGGCGGGAATGCAGCATGGAGAACATATTGTTAACACATTTAAAAGACCAACTGCTACATTATCATATATCCATTGACCATATTACAAAAAATTATATTCATACATGGCACCAAGTCATATACATTAGCCGTTCTGCACAATCACATATTTCAGACAAAGTATTAAATATAGGTTTTTAGGTGGCCATAAAATAGCTGTTTATTCTGGGTTTGACTTTGATTGACAGCTATCAATCATCCCTAACAAACCAACCCAGTTGCGTGAATTTTACCAAAACAGTTCAGGTGGCAAAGCACAACAATCCACACAGCCAACACATACAAATGTTAGCTTAGCAGCCTACTGTTAGTTCTGATCAATTTCACAGCCTATGTCATGCTATTGAGGCAGGTAATAAGTCCATGAATCAGTTTTTATATGTATAACCTTACCTATAAAACCTCTGTATCTGCACACTGTCCTGAAACATCTGCAGAGAGGGGGACCACATGCTCCATTATTGAAGGCATCTGAAGGTTAGAGGAAGTTTTATCAACTTAAAGGTAGGGCAGGTAAGAATGGAGAAACCAGCTCGAGTGCGCTAGAATTTGAAAATATGCAGCCGAAAAAAATCTGCCCCTTCCTTCAGACTTCCTTACAGAGCCCCTCCTCCAACACACGAGCGTGCATATGACCAATGAGGGCACGAGATAAGTTTGTGCACAGATGGAAGGCTGACAGGCAGGTAGGCCATCCAGTTACTTTAGCCGGGCCGGCTAAAATTATTGGTCGTGCTTTTTACAGCGCCACGGCTTCCACAGATGAATTTTTTTAATGTATTTATTGTCAAAGCATTTAATGAATTCATTGCTATCGGGATGTTAAGAGCATTCCATGGAATATAACAAAAAGTGTTTCTGAAGTGAATTATACCCCACCTTTAAACAAGTCACACCTTCTCTGGCAGCGCTGAAAAACGTGTTTTATGTCAAGAGGTTAAAGCAGACATTTAGAAGTATAAGTTTGCGATTCTCAGGAGACAACCAAAAACGATCATCTAAAAGACCCTCACCATGCATAAGTGTTGAATATGCAATGACAATCACCACAAAAGTGGGGGGTGACAAATGGATAAATAGATTAAATTACTTCACACGTCTACAATGGACTGGACTGACTCATAATGGGAGAAACACCATGTTTGGTGATATGTACAGTAGGAACAAATCTTACCTACATAATGTGTCGATGTGTCAGAGAGAGATTAATTTAATGACATCCAACGTTCTGCACCACATCCAACAGGGATGTGCCTATACACACATTAGTTCAACTGCTGGTGGTTTTTTTCATAAACTAGTTCTTAACATAATCCATCCCATGTTGCATTTCAGGATTGTATTCTGAAATATGTACATTTTTAACCTTTCATTTCTTATTGTCCACTGCAACTGCATGATGTATGTCACATTCACAGCCAATGAAATAATATTCCATAATTTCTAAATATGCATTCCTTATTTTTATCTCAAAGCTAACATCTCTATTGACAATTGGACTTTAAATGTCGTATATAATTGCTATGAAACGTTTATTTAATAAATGGATTTTAATCATGGTGCCAGGTAAGTTGGATCTTTTATTTCACCAAAATGAAAGGTCTCAATAACTTCTTCTTATTTTAAACAATCCAGTGTTTTTAATTACATCAACATTCAAAGCATTGCATGTTTCTCTATGCATGTTCTCTTGTCACAATTGAAAAGTACATGCTGAGAGTCCCCAAAGACACTTTGCTGAAAGCTATTGGGATAAAGTTGGTTTCTCAATGGTTTTTCATGTGTTCAAGAACTGCCTTCTTTAACTTGGTATTTTGATTGATTTTTAAAAGGAAAAAACTGAGACCGTGACTATGGAATGTCAGTACTTATAAATCAACAACTTCCACCGAAAGACCTTAAATTAATATTGTGTTAGTGTGTAAGTTGTTATAATAGTATACATAATTTCCAATATGCCTGCCTGCTATGTGGCCCTCAGCCCCAAGTCCATTGGCTCTAAGATTGGCTAACAAATAAAGGTGTCATCCTAAAAAGTGAAGAATAAAGTCTAAAATCATGCCATGCTAGAGGCTTATAGACTATTTTCAGCTGTAGATTAACACTCATTGCATGCACTAGTGGCTATTAATGGAAAAATAATGAGCTACAGTGCCTTTGATCATTGTCATGAAGGAACATCTCACAGAGTGTGAGAATACGAAACATTAGGAATATTAGCAGCCTTATCCTTTAAGCCTCAGCAGTTGGTAGAGAACAGCTGATTCACCCCGCTCTGAACTGCCTTTTTCATTAAAATCTTGACTATGATACCAACAATTAGATATTTGGTGATTGCCTTAACTTATAACATAGTGTAGGCCAGCAAATAATAAAGAAAACTAATTGAAATGTGAAACATTAATCCTAAAGCTTATTTCTATGGTTATGTAAGGATATCAGAGATGGGTTTATCTAGGAAACGAAGGCAAACTAGGTGTCCATTTGATTCTGATTACTCCACCACCCTTCCTGTGAGTGTGCTTGAACGTGTGAGGTGCAGACCTGAACGCTGACACTTTGGCTTCCCTCCAGGAGCTCTCCAGATTGAGAACAGCGAGGAGTCGGACCAGGGAAAGTACGAGTGCGTGGCCGTCAACAGCGCCGGGACTCGCTACTCTGCTCCAGCTAACCTTTACGTCCGAGGTAAGATCCCTCTTGACCCGGACCCATTGCCATTCAGGTTGCCGCCTCCAATACTAAAATCCTCTCACAGCACTGATGCTCTGCCTCTCTGGATTCTAAAGCGAAGCCAAACCTGTTGGGACCTGTCCAGTCACACTGTCACTTCCCTCTCTCTTTCACTTTTCTGTCTTGTCTTTGTCTCCCGGGAGGTGATTCATGTATTTTGCTGCGATGCCCTGTTAGCTTGCTTGACCTGCCTAACCTCACGTTGATGGAAGGGGATGGCGGTTCGCTCATCAAGGTTGAAAGAGAGGTTGGCTGCGGTTCTGCCTCTTTGTTTTGGTGGAGGTGGAAGTTTACATGTTCAGTCTTGCCACAAGGAGAAGCTAACACCATTGGCTATTGTACATCCTGTGCCAGACAGGCAGGCAGGGGAATTTCATACCTGTCTTCTCCATTTGACTGCATGTGCTGCAACAAAAGCCAGCAGGGTGAAAGCAGACTCGAGGCGGCTCATAAGTAGGCCTTGTCTACAAACAACTCAATTAGCCTCAGCTAATATCATGTTCTCAAACGCAATTTTCAAAGCAGAAGGGTGAATCATTTCTGCTTTAATCTTTTGTTCTTTTCACATTTTAATGATGATTCTCTTTGATGGAATTTACCTAAAAAAGAACAGTTAGTACCTTTGTTGCACTTTTCTACTATTTTAACCATAGGCCCATGTTGACCCATTTTCCCAAATGTCCTTTTAACCCATTGTCTGAGGTCTAAAGCAAGGCTCATGTCCACATAATGTCGTCATCTTACAAAAAGGTGTGAGCTGGGTTAGCCTATACATGCAATTAATTGAAAAAGCCCTCCCATGTTTCTATGACAACAACATCTTGACAACAGATGACCACGCTAACTGACATTTTTGATGGGCTAACATTGCCCCTTTCCTTGTTATTATCCACACGTGATCCTATCGTTTTGTTTGACATTGCTATCCCCCTTATATTTTGTATGTATAATTATGAATGAGGTTGTCACGGCTGAGTCTTACATCCGTGTAGCAAGGAGAATTATTTGAGAAAGGCGATCACCGGTAGCAACATCCACCCAGTTGATCTGCTTCAGCAGATGGGCTTTTTGGTCTTTTCTGTCTGATATACGACAATCAATTTCTGAAGAGTTCAAATATTGTCAAATGTAAGTTCAACGTAAAAAAACAATACGTAGACACTGGACCTTAGATTGTCAAAGAGGTGTTTTGCATCTGAAACTATTGCATTCCTTCAGCCAGTTGTATGCAGATGTTTTCTTTTTCTTGACAGTTTTTGGTGGGTAAATTGCTGGTCCTGCCAACAAGGCATTATGCTACTAGTGTCAGACAGTAATAATGGGCCTACATTCCAGATTTCTTCTAATTTATCTATACACAATAAAATGCTAATAAACACACACACACACACACACACACACACACACACACGCAAACATACTTACACAAGCACAGAGATAAATGAAGCTTCACCAGGGGACATAACCTGCCGTGTCACATTTAATTATTGTCATATCACTTGTGATTGGGCCAGCAAGACACTGAGGCCGAGCACAGTCACAGCTCAGACACTTTCTGCAGGACGTATTCTTACAACTACATTTAGTAGTTAAATGAAAAGGGCACACTTACGAGCTCATAACAAGTTCTCTGGTGTAACCTTAAGCCACAAACTCAACAGTGTCAACCCGAGCAAAACACTCAACGATAGCAAAATATGCAGCATCAAACAGAATTGAAGTGAATGATATCTAGCTCCGTTGCATATTGTGGAAACTGATACAGAAGCATAAGTTTCCACATCACAGAGTGCTACCACCCAGGATAAAAATTGCCTTTGAGAACAAAAACACAATACTTTCCAAGAATCTGTCTCAACAAAAAATGAAGAGATCATTTGTCTGACCTTCTACACATTGCTATTTTGTTAAAATAACCAAACAGAGCCGCAGCCAACACATTCACTTTTGTTTATGATTCTGTATTTCTGCTTCTCTTTCCAGGTTTCTGTCTGTGTTGCTTTAACCTTTAAATATTCAGGTGTGCTGGTAGCTAATGTCTTCATTTTCATCTCACAGTTTAGCTTTGTTTAGTCTTCATCTCCTTCTTCAGCTTTCCACATCTCGTCTTCCTTTGGTTCCTCACTTCACTATCCCTCCTCCGCTCACTGTCACTCACACACACTGTATATTTTCCAGTTCATCTCTCGAATGCTTATCCTTCTATCTACACATGGGGGCAATTGTTAAACATTTACATTGTTTAAAATTGTTGAATGTGCTTTGCTTTTTCTACCTCTTGTATTGGACAGGTGAGAAAGTATTTTAAGTTTGCTGTGTTGGTTGTGAGAGAAGGTGTGTGTTCATGTTGTTGTTCATAGACAAAACGCTACTAGAATCTGTTCGTCCACTTAGCCTTTAAGAGATAGTTAGCCTCAGTGCTCCATTATAGCACTTTAACACCCTTATTTTATTTACAAAAGGCTCTGTTAGTTTGAAAGTTTGAATTTGAAATGTGAAAGAAATACATTGAAAAAGCAGACAAAGGGAAACTATATGTTACTTACGTAACCCCAGTTCTCTGAGTAACATGAAGTGAGATGTCTCACTATGGGATGCGCCTCAACGCGTATGCAAACAGAAGCATCAATCTCATTACGCCAATCCTGATTGGCTGGTGATCTTGACGTCTACGTCAGGGAATCCACCCACCCTTTAAGTAGCTTGCGCTACGACGCAGCGTCATTCAAAATAAGCACCTCTTCTCGCTTCGCCTTAGCAAGAAGGGCCGTCTGGTGAGACATCTCACTTCATGTTACTCTGAGAACTGGGGTTACGTAAGTAACCTATAGTTCTCATTCATAACACTCCGTTTAATGTCTCACTATCGGATATTGAAACTCTCGTATTGCTAGACATGCTTATCTTGAAAATCACCAAAACAACCAGAAGATAACAGGTAGAACCCTGTCTCAACACGGGGCCCAGCACTGCGCGGGCCACACTTGGAGCAGAGACATCTAGCCTGTAAAAGCGGACAAAAGTGAGCGGTGAGGACCAGCTCGCTGCTGCACAAATGTCTTGGATGGAAACACCCCTGAACAAAGCCCAGGATGTAGCCAGACCACGGGTAGAATGAGCACGCAGGCCCGTTGGTGCCTGCAAACCCTGACTCGTATAAGCCAGAGCAATCGCTTCCAAAATCCAGTGGGAGAGCCGTTGCCTGGTAACGGGCTTGCCCTTATGACGGTTAGCCCAGGATATAAAGAGTTGGTCATTGCAACAAAACTCTTTTGACCTGTCCATATAGGTGCGTAAAGCACGAACTGGACACAGCAAATTTGGCCGCTGTTCCTCAGAGG